AAGCTCTATCTGATTATCTTCTTTGTAATATTCTGATAGTTTTAATCTATTTTGATCTATATTTCAGTAAAAAAAAGATACAAATAAATTTTCAAGAGTACTCTGTTTCAACTACAATATGTCTAAATCTGAGGAGACACAGATCTCAGAGAAACCTGACAATGTACTATATTTCAAAAACTCTAAATGTATTTTGTAAGTAATAACCTAATGGCTTAAATAAAATGAAGATATATTAACATTGCTTAACATACAGTGTAGCTTATACATTATATACATTAAATATGATGTACTGTGAAAAGCCAATGAATTTTATTTTAAATTAGCTATTTGGAAATTTTAACTGATGGGCTATGTGCTATGCAAGTGCTATGGTTGATTTGAGTTTTAAAAATATATAAATTCTATAAATAAGCTGCTTCTCATAGCCTAAGATTGCCTTACTTATGTGTGTATTTCCGAGCTTCAGCTTCATCATAGAACTAGGAGGGAAAAGAAAAGAGAAATGAGTAAAGGGAAATCACAAAAAAGGTGTTTAGATTAATTCAAAAAGCTATCATCCTTCCTGGGGAAAGGTCATTAAAGAGAGATTAAAACAATTCATCTGTTAGGTTATGTCTGGCATATAACAGAGATTTTCTTTTCACTCCTGATTATCTCATCTTAATTTTTTTTCCTGCCAATAATACAATTTGACATGGACAAGTTATTTTTTTACTGCTCCTATAGAACTGGGATTTCACTTTAAATTACCAAGAGATCATAAACAGACCCTGTGCTATTTTCCTCCACCTAGTGACTTGCTAGTACAGAGGTCCCCAACCTTTGGGGCACCAGGGACGGGTTCCGTGGAGAGAGGTTTTTCCGCAGATCTGAGGGTGCGTGGTTTTGTGTGCTGCCTGCATCTCGCAGATGGGGCTTTGCTTGTTTGTGCGTCCAGTTGCTGGCATGCCGCGGCCCAGTACTGGTCCATGGACTGGGAGTTGGGGACCTCTGTCCTAATACATTACAGTTGCCAGCTAGCTGCTTCCTTGAGCCTCATAACAACAGAACACCAACAGCAGAACACAAACAGCAGAACACCAACAGTTTTTCCAGCAGAAAGTGGAAAAACAATGTGCTTCCAAAAATGGAAAATCTATTCAATTGTTTTAGATAAGTGACTCCTTCAATATATGTTTTGGCCCCCAGAAAAGGCAGTGTATTTCAGAATTTAGATGAAAGGCTGCACCTGTAACCCGAGTCAAAGCAAGGTGGAAATAAGGAATA